GAGAAATCACCCCCCAGGGGGGATGGTCACGCCGCAATCCCTCCTCCTCCATTCTCCTCTCGGGATCTTGGGCACGCACGCACATGCGCCCGGTGTGGGTTTAAGCCACCGGGTCCGAGACGCTAACCGTGGTCGACTACGTGGGAGTCCAGCGACATAGCCATTACGCTAACTGCTGGTTCCCAGTGTAGTTTTTTTAAAAACTACCATTGACTTAGCTAAAGCTGTGTGTCAAAAGATTTTTAAAAGATTACTGTAAAATCTAATCCTCAAATAAATTTAAATATAAAATATATGAATATGATTGCTATTATAAGAGCATTGAGCTTACTGAATTCTATAAAAATTATCTTATAGTTTCAATATTAAAAAAGAGATCTTTAAACATTTTAGGTTTTAAAGAGTATATAAATTCAATGCAAATCATTTATAATGTGACAGAAAAGTATAAAAAAATTAAATTGCTTCTTATTTCTCATGAGAGTATCAGTTTAATGTTACTTCTTGCTAGTCATTTTCTATGCATAAGATGCCTTTTAAACATATCTGTTCAATACTAAGTAGGCATTTATAAATGTAGAAAATAATTTCTGTAATGATAGAGTAGCATCACATAGTGGGGAAAATGTTTTGTCTTGATCTGATATTTCTCGGATACTTTCTCTGTGAACTGGATGACGGTTTTTGATGAAACTGACAAATTCAAGAGGCCCATTCATTTGGGGGATGCAAGTCCTGTGATGATAGAATAAAGGTTTTGTTGTTTTGTTTAAGGAAATTGACAATTGTTTCCTTCTCCTGCCTTTGACTGCTACCATCAGAGCTCCTCTAGACTGAGACATTCATGTATCTATGGAAGTAGGGGTGAGGAACAGAGGGACAGTTTTCCTTTCATGGTAAAGAATATTTATTCACATTTTCCTGCAATGAGCAACAAAAGAAAGCATTTGCTTCTAAAAGATTCAATCTGAAATTCTCCTATATGTTTTTAGTTTCATCTCTTTCTCCTGAATGCAAAATAATTAATAGCTTAACTTTATGTATGGCTGTAATCAGGCCAGTGTGAGTTCAAAAATGAAGATTAAAACAATACATGATCAAAAAAAACAAAACAAAACAAAAACAAAAACAAAAACAATACATGATCAGGCACGATATGTTGATATGTTCTTTTTTTTTTTGGAAAGGTTTTCGCTATAGGGCGCATGTGCTCGCCAGACAGACAGAGAGAGACATAGAGATAGAAAGCGAAAAATCACCCCCCAGGGGGGATGGTCACGGCGCAATCCCTTCTCCTCCATTCTCCTCTCGGGATCTTGGGTACGCACACACATGCGCCCAGCGTGAGTTCTAAGCCACCGGGTCCGAGACGCGAACCGTGGTCAACTACATGAGAGTCCAGAGATATAGCCATTACATTAACTGCTGGTTCCCTAGGCACAATATGTTCTTGAAGATCAGGTTAATACACACAAATGATGAGCATGAAAAAACACCCTTAAGTGGTTATATAGTAACTCTTCAGGTTGAACTTGACATCAGAGTAATACAGCTGATGTCCCACCTTATACCCAGCTAACCACCTAGGTTCACGTATGCTAAAATGTGACAGCCAAAGCAATGAGGACATTTGCACATTTATGTTTTCCTGCTTAATCTGGAAAAAATGCATACTACATGCCATTAGTTCAGATGATTAGATTTCCTGAAGACTGTTCAAATTTATCTAGATGACGAATTGAAAACTATTATGAAAATCTATTATAAATCTCATTTACTTTCAAAGCAATGTAGACACTTCATTACTCACACCTAATTTGATCAATGTCCTTGAGAATTTATAAATAAGGAAATTCTTTCGCCCTGAATCTAGATTGTTAATTTCCGTTTTTGCTTCGATCTCATTTTAGAGACATGAACTTAGAAATACATATCATTGATTCAATAAATATAAAGGTTTTTGTTTGTTTAAAAAAAACAAATAAATGAGTCCACATTTAATATTTGCAAATGTCATTATTCTTTAGCACAATACTTAAATTATAAATATATGACAGTCTTTAAATATTCAGCTACTGATGTTACTGCATAAAAAGATTTGCTTGCCTTTTGAATCTTTCAGACCCTTTCTTTTGGTGACGTGGTAGCTGTTCGCCACTATGAGAAGGCCTAGAGATGTTCCTGGTCTGGGGCCAGAGAAGCTCTTCAGCTTTTCTGTTTACTCAAGTCTCAGTGCTGTCCTGCTGTTACAGCACCCATCACTAATTAGAAGGTTATCTTTGGTGTGGAAGTGGAAAATGGCGATTTAAAGCTTGTTACTCCAAGCAACTAGTCCAATTTTGACCTTCAAATTGAATGCATTTTATAATTCACATTACAATTTTAAGTCACCTTTTTAAATGCAAAGAGTAAATACATTTGATAATTTCTTTGGAATGCAAAGTGGATTGGAATAAAAATTTTATATGCATGAAATCTTGTTGCTGTTCTTAGTATCATTAATCTAGTCAGGAATTGTATATTGTAGAATTTTAAATAAAATATTCTTTTAAAAATAATTTATTTAATTTTATTATTATTGTTTTAATTTGCTACAGGGCATGTATGTCATCAGAGAGAGAGAGTGAGAGAGAGAGTGAGAGAGAAAGAGAGAGTGAAAAAGCGAGTCACCAGGTCCAGGATTTGAACCACAGTTGGCCATGTGAGAGTCCAGAGCCTTAACCACCATGCCACCTGCTGGCCCCCAAAATAGCCATTATTATGAAATAAAGTGAGGCTGCCAAACTTAGGAACTTGCTTAAAATATGAATTTTTAAAAGTTAGCAAAAGCTTAAGGAAATGTAGAAATGCTGCTGTTAGGGTGGAGACCTCCATAGAGAATTTGTGATATTAAATTCATCTGGTCAGAATCCAAAGAAATCTTGTTATAGTGGGTTGGACTACAATACGTATAAGTTGTTCTGAAAGAGTTTATATTGGGCAAAGAATAGAGGAAGATCTTCTGGAGCTGGGAGAATGAACAATATAGGGTCAAAGTTCATTAACAGCAGCTGTCTGAAACAACTAACTGGTAGTGATAGTAAGTCCATTCCGCAGGATGTGTGATCAGCCTCTTTTCAGGATGTGTGATCAGCCTAAGGGAGACTGAAAACCTGGAATTACCCTGGGAAAGAATGTCTTATGACAGTCAGACATGTAACTAACTGGTAGTTAGGCTGTTTACTTCCTCTAGTCTTCTACCTCTTTTTTCTTCTATCTATCATCTGTCTATCTATACCCAATAGAAAGAGAGAGCAATCTCTTTTCTGGATAAACATGATCTCCACTAGATATAGGGAAGGCAGTGAATTTTAACCTAGATTAAAAAGATGTTTCTCTGGACAACTGAATTGAATTGAACTAAACCAATAAGATTGTAAAATGGAGTGTTGTGCAAAATGGAGTGTCTTAGAGTGTACAAAGGCATTTAAATTCCTTTTATGGGTGGGGGGAGGAGGTGAAGGGTGATAGAGTTGACCAAACCAAAGTAAATATCTGTTTGTAACTGGCTAGCGTTTGCATTCCTAAAGTATAAACAAACAAGTACTATTTTGCATTTCATCATTTATAAAATGCTTTTTTATATATTTTCTCAACTCTACAATATGGAACAAGGAGACAGACATTACTTTTACTTTACTAATGAGGCAACTGCCGTTTAGATTTGCATACTCAAATTCTCATTTCTTTTTTAAATTTAATTTTATTATAATAATCTTTTTTATATTACATTGACTCACATATATCTTTACAGTGTATCACATTTCTTTTTCCAGCATGATTACCATGCATATCAGTCAAGGCAAAGATATTAATATCCACATGATTATCCTCAAATAGCTTTTCATAATTTTTTCAGATTATTATGATTTATTCTTTTATTTACTATTATTATTAATACAGTCACTATACATCATTTCAATTGTAAAGAGAGTTTACCAAGCATGATGTACACCTCAGTCCAGCCCAGTTGAGAATACTATACATATTCTCGTCAATAGATAGTAAACCATATCTGTGTCCCACAAGTGTCTTACCTCTCTATTTTTTCCCCCAATTTCCTTTCTTACAATTTTCCCCTCCCACACTCTCTTTCAACTTTGTATTTAGTGTTCATTACAATTTTTAACACTTTTATGTCCTCTAGGCTTTCAGTTTCTACCATAGAGTGTGGACAGTTGGTAAGTGGAGACGTACAATGTCTCTTTCATAGTTTGACTTGCTTCACTCAGCAACAAATCTTCCATATTTGTCCACTTTCTATCAAATTCCAGAGCCTTGTTGTTGGGTTTTTTTTTTTTTTTTTGGTGTGTGTTGTGTGTGTGTGTGTGTGTGTGTGTGTGTGTGGCTGAATAGTATGTGCCACACTTTTTCAGTCCTTTCATCTGTTTGTGGACATTTGGGTTAGTTTCATGTCTTAGAATCGTAAATAATGCTGCAATGAATATAGTTGTGCAAACGCTTTTCTGACTGAGTGTTCTCCTGTCCTTTGGGTAGATACCCAGAAATGGAGTTGCTGGATCATATGGTAGTTCTATTTGAAGGTCTTTGAGGAACGTCCATATTGTTCTCCACAGTGGCTGGACCAATTTACATTCCCATCAGCAATGCAGGAGTGTTCTTTCACCACATCCCGTCCAGCACTTATCATTATTTGTTTTTTTAATCTCCGCCATTCTGTCTAGGGTTAGGTGGTATCTCGTTTGTGGTTTTGATCCACATCTCCATTACAATGAAGGATGTTGAGCACTTTTTTCATATGCTTTTTGACTGTTCATATGTCTTCCTTAGAGAGTTGTTTATTTAGCTCATTTTCCCATTTTTTAATTGGGTTAAGAATTTTCTTCTGGGTAAGCCACTTGAGTTCCCTGTGTATCTTGGTTATCAGCTCCTTATCTGAGGCACAGTTAACAAAAATTCTCTCCCATTTCGAAGATTGTCGATTCACACTAATTACAGTGTTCTTTGCTGTGTAGAAATTTCTTAATCTGATGTAATCCTATCTGTCTATTTTGGGGGATAATTGCCTGTGCTTTGGAGGTCTTGCTTAAGAAGTCTTTGCCTACCCCAATGTCTCCTAGAGTTTTACCAGTGTTTTTCACCAGTAACTTTATAGTTTGAATATATAAAGGCTCTATCATGTGGTCAATCTTTGAGAAAGTACAATGCAGGGCTGAGAAAAATGTATATTTTGTGTTTTGGGGTGGAAAGTTCTACAGGTGTCTATGAAGTCCATCTGATCTTTGGTATCATTTAGGTCCTGAATCTCTGCTTGTTTTTTGTCTCATTGAACTGTCTAAAGGAGATAATGGGGTGTTGAGATTTCCAACAATTATTGTGTTACATTCTATCTCTCCTTTTAGTTCTAGCTGTCTTTCCTTTACATATTTGGGTGCTCCTGAATTCAGTGCATAGATATTCATAAGCATTATATCTTCTTGGTGAATTAGCCCTTTTACTACTATATAATGCTCTTCTTTATCTTTTCTTATGTTTTTTTTCTGAAAGCCTATTTTGTCTGAAATCAGTATAGTGACTCCCGCTCTTTTTTGTTTTCAGTTTTCATGGTATATCTTATTCCAGCCCTTCACTTTTAGTCTATGTATGTCTTTATACATGAGGTGAGTTTCTTGTAGGCAGCAGATGGAGGGTTTTTAATTTTTTTTTTTTTGAGAGGTTTTTGCTATAGGGCGCGTGCGCTCGCCAGACAGATAGAGAGAGACAGAGAGACAGAAAGCAAGAAATCACCCCCCAGTGGGGATGGCCATGCTGCAATCCCTTCTCCTCCATTCTCCTCTCGGGATCTTGGGCACACACGCACACGCACCCAGCATGAGTTCTAAGCCACCGGATCTGGGATGCGAACTGCGGTTGACTACGTGGGAGTCCAGCGACATAACCATTACGCTAACTGCTGGTTCCCTGAGGGTTTCTAACTTTTAATCCAGTCAGCCAGTCTGTGTTTCTTGATCAGAGAATTTAATCCATTGACATTCAATGTTATTATCAATATTTCCAGACTTGTCCCTACCATTAAGCTGGACATACTCCTTTTTTTGTGTGTATGTGTGTTATTGCTATCAGTCTTTAGTTTTCTTGGTATAGTACTTCTATCAGAATTTCTTGGAGAGCTGTTCTGGAGTTGGTAAATTCTATCAAGTTTTGTTTATCTGAGAACATTTTTATTTCCTTTTCCCATATAAAGGCTAATTCTGCCGGGTATAGCATTCTTGGTTGAAATTGTTTTTTATTTAGCACTTTCAATGCATTTCCTTGTTCTTTCCTTCCTTGTATTGTATCTGATGAGAGGTCTGGTGTTAGCCTGATGGGATAGCCTTTGTAAGTGATTTGACATTTCTCTCTTGCCAATCTTAGTATCTTGTCTTTGTCTGTTATTTTGGTCAATCTACCTATGATATGGAGCAGAGAATATTTTCTAGGATTGATTCTGCTTGGGGTTCTTTGTATTTCTTGGGTCTGGATGTTTGAGTACCTCTATAGACTTGGAAAGTTTTCTTCCAGAACTTTGTGGAATAGATTATCAATGCTCTTGTTAGTTTCTTCACCTTCTGAAATACCAGTTATTCAGATATTGGGGCATTTCATGCTATCTGCTATTTCTTCTGTATTATCATCAGTTTTCTTGGCTGTTTTCTCAGTATTTTTGATAATTTTTTATAAGTCATTGGTTTTGTCTTCTATATCTGAAATTTGATCTTCTGCGTGGTCTAACCTGCTTTTAATACTTTCAAGGGAGGTTTTCATTTCCTGCATCTTTATATCTAACAGTTCCATTTGATTCTTTTTTATGGTGTCCAATTCTTCTTTCATATCATGGAAGGACTTCCTCATCTCTTGGAGCTCAACATCTCTTTTCTCTTGCATCTCATAGAATTTTGTTACCATAAATATTCTAAATCCTTTTTCTGACATTTTGGTAATATCCTCTAATTTTTTCCTACTTGGAGACAGGTTACAGTGTTCCCTTGCTGGAGATGTACTACTTGATTCTCTCATCCTTGAGGCTCTTCTATTTTTAGTGATTTGGTAATGTATTCACTTCTGGCCAATTTGTTGGAGAAGGATTCTGTGACTGTGAGCTCATGTGTTTCCCCCACTGTGAAATAATTTGGTGCTATTTTCTCACTTGTACTCTATCCTCCAATGCGGGAATCACCAGAGGAGTTTTGTAATCAGAGTTATGAAAGGAAATTTTACTATTTTTGCAATGACTACAGTGAGGTGCAAATAATTCTCTAAAACTCATAATGTTCAGATGTTTAGTTACTATGCACCTAGTCATCTGTAGGCAGTGGGTAAGGGCTGAGCAGTAAAACAGGAAACTAAGGTAAAAGAAAAACGATGTAGGCAATAGAAAGAGGGAGAAAAGGCAAGGAACAAAGAAGGAAAGTACTAGAAGAAAAAGAAAAAAAGACAAAGAAATAAGAAGAAAAAAGAAAAGAAGTGACTTCTCAGAAAAAGAAAATGGGTTGAAAATGGAAAACCGCACAGTGCACAAATGTGCCCTGTGAAGGCTCAACACAGGCTAAGGTGAAGGTGCCTGCGAGGGGAGAAGAGAGAAATTAACAAAAGAAAGGCACAATCAGAGCAGAAAAGCTTTTTTTAAAAAGAGAGAGAGAGAGAAAAAATGTTAAAGGGACAGAGAAGATTAAGCGGGTTGCTTGCCTACTTCTCTAACACTGGGGTCTAGAGCAGGGGTCTCTGGCTGGAGGGGGCTTCACAGCCCTGAGCTTTGAACTCAGAGGCCTGACAGAGGCTAAGGTGAAGATGCCTGATTGCTTTCTCTATTCTCATTATTTTTTTCAAATATTCATAAGAACAGCCAAAAAGCATATGAGGAAGTGCTCAAATTCTCATTTCTAAACAGTACTGAGAACTGCAAATCTTGCAGTCTTCACCCTTTTTTTTCTCTTTTTAAGAGAGATTTTTGTTATAGGGTCCATGCGCTCACTGCAGAGACAGAGAAAGACAGAAAGTGAGAAATCACCCCCAAAAGGAGATGGACACACTGCAATTCCTTTTCCTTCATTCTCCTCTTGTGATCTTGAGCACATATGCACATACACTCAGCTTGAGTTTTAAGCTGCCAGGTCTGGGACACGAACTGTGGTCAATTACATGGGAGTCCAGCAATGTAACCATTCCGCCATCTGCTGGTCCTGCAGTCTTCCCCTTTATTTCCTCTACAAAATTAATATCTCAGCTAACTTTTCTTCTAAAACAAAAGTGCAAGATTTTATTTTCCTTGGTCATGTCTTATGGAAAAGAAATTTTTTTCCTATTAGTTCCTGAGAGCAAATATTTCCCAGGACAAATAATAGTCCTTTTAATCAGTAGAGGGATTTTAGTAAGTTTCTATAAATTAATTTAAAATCTATAAGTATGAGGGAAATCTCTTTTAAATCTTCAGTCTCCCTTTGCCTTTAACAGCAGGGAACAGAGCACTGAGAGATGGTGTTTGCTCCAATTGTTTTGGTAGCCATCATCTGTCTCTTCTTCTGACAGCTAAACTCTTTTTTTTTGGAGAGGTTTTTTCGCTATAGGGTGCGTGCGCTCGCCAGACAGACAGAGAGAGACATAGTGACAGAAAGCGAGAAGTCCCCCCCCGAGGGGGGATGGTCACGCCACAATCCCTTCTCCTCCATTCTCCTCTTGGGATCTTGGGCATGCATGCACATGTGCCCAGCGTGAGTTTTAAGCCACTGGGTCCAGGACACGAACTGCCATTACGCTAACTGCTGGTTCCCTCCTTCTTGAATTTTTAAAGGGTAGTTGCAAGTCATTTTTCTTCAAGCCAAACTCTCTCAACCTGTCAGTGTACTAATTTTTGTGGTTTGACCTTTTTGTTTTCTAACATAGTCAAAGGAAAGGAAAAACAAACAAAATCAAAGGTAATTTGAATATGCCTTGGAAGAACAGTTCCAGAATTCCAAAGTGTCACAGACAAAAGCTAAGCTAAAGGCTGTCTTGTGAAATCCAGTCATGGACCACTGTCAATTAATCAGCAGAAACTTCTGTCTGTATCTTGTGTTATGTTTTCCTCACCGAGATATACAAATACTCATGATATCCATGCACATCTGCTGCATGAAAACCTGAAAATACCTACACATGGCCACGGTTGAGATACACCTCAGAGATTGGGGGCACAATCATTTTTGTGCTTCTTAGGGAGTGAGTATAAAGGAAAATAAAAGAAAATGGGGTGAAGGGGAGAATGATGTTTGTAACTCCTAATGTTAATATATTGTCTTTTTAGAACTGGAAACATTTCTTAGATTTCAAAATGTGTATACCTTGGTTTTTGCTTACTTGTTGAAAAACTATTTGATAACCAATTTACTTCCAGGGAATAAATGAAAATAGCTTTTTTTTTTTTTTAACAATGTTTTGACTAGAAACTCACATATTTTGGTGCTATCCTTAAAACTGTTTTCTCTCACCAACTCAGGGTATTTTTCTCCTGCTCCATTCCCCACACCTCCATACTCTAGAGGTTGTGCACAGAGAAGCTCCAAGGACCATTTTTTTTCTACCACTGATTTAAATAAAAGTCAAGGCAGGGTCTGAAACAGAGAAGAGGGGGCTAGATTCCTATTTAAAAGTCTCTTTTATAAGACATACTCACATTTAATTACACAGGATACAAAACTAGGTTCTCTCTGCTGGGAAACAAATGCACTGCACAACATCTCCTATAAAGTTAGTAATTCTGGAAGTTGTTTTTTTTTTTCTCCAGAAGAATTCTATGCCTTATAAATGTAAACGATTAGCTTTGACATCTTAAAGAGGTCCATATCCTAATAAATGTTTTTTAAGAATTATTTTTATTTATTTTAATTTGACCAGACACATACACACACACACACACACACACACACAC